AGCTATCCAAACCAAGATCATTTTGGAAGTGAGCATTTGGCGTAACCTGCGAGAATAAATGAACATCACAAAGGCATAATTGTGCATATATTAGTCCCAGAAGCTTTAAAACAAGAAGGAACCTAATTAAAATCTAAAGATTCTAATGTTTGGTCCGTGCCTAGATTGAACACTATAATAACAGTCTACGAAGACTCGCTGTCAGCGAAAAGGGAATGCATTAGCATGTCCCACCATCCATATTAAAAAATAAGGCAACAGTAAAAGCTGTTAAAACACTAGGGCTAAGTACTGTATTGGTGGAATCACCAGCGCCAAAATCGGACGCCAGCACCAAAAACCGAAAAACAGAGACTGCCACTCCAGTAACCTGCAGATATGGAGTACTAGTAGGACGGGCAGGAGGGGGAACGAAGGCAGAAAAAAAGAAGAGAACTTGCTGCTCAACATACCTTAGACACCTTTGAAACTGTAAATATATGGCTCTTTTTTTTTTTATACGTCAAATTAAAATTCATGTATACCGCAAATAGGTGTGTCAGAAGAATGGACAAGTAATTACATTACTCATGCAGGTCATCCATGGTATCTGACTAGTTTGACAGCTATCTATGTCACTTTCTTTTTTATTTATACCAAAAATACAAGTGAACAAGAAGGATTATAAATGCCTTCTACATCATTATTTTGTTTCATTCATTTCATAACTGACAAAAAATACACAGTGGTGATGATCTCAGGCTTCCCTCCTATCATATAGGAAATTTAGAAAATTTCCTTTCCACTAGTTTGTTGATTTAAGCTTAGTTGGTTTGAGAGTATTTACATGTTATTGCGGTAAAGAGCTCAAGTCTGACGGGCAAAGGAATCAGATTTTTAGGTGAGCTAACAAGGTATAATAATTACGGCAAGTATATTGTTTTGCAAGGAAAGTTAAAACCTAAAGCACCTACAGAAATGATAATATTCCAGTCAAAACTAAGTTTTATCCGAATCACAACCCACAACAAGACCAACATAGGGAACTCTTGAAATATTACCAATTTAACTTGTTAGCTTTGTTAATTTTGTCAAGGCTGTTCAGCCGGTATTATCAAAAGAACATAGATACCACTCACAAGGAAGATTTGGGGTTATCTAGGACAGTCATTGCTTCACACTTAGGCCAGGGAACTTTCACCAGCTTTCCCGGTGATCACTCTGATCCTTTTCTTATTTGTGATGGAGGCACAGAGTAAAGTATCTCATTTAATTTGCTCACAACGCATTGATCACCTACAGGCCACACACTAGACAACTCCAATACCTTTTCAGAACATTGACATGGTTCCAAGTTGTCAATACATGTAATTCTGGATTGGTATCAGTGAAGGAGGTACAAGATATTCAATAACATGCAAGCATCATGGTTCTAGGGTGGCAACACCATCAGTGATATTCCTAGACCTACTACTCGGGGAAAATTTTGAGGATCTTTAAAAACCAGTAATCAAGAAGTCCGGTTTCTAAGTTGGAAAAATCACCCTACTAATTTACACAATCTAATAACCAAATAAGTCGCATGTTCTTATTTTATATGCTTATTAAGTTAGTATCTGATAAGCTGGAATACATAATGAGAGCCTTCCTGTAAGAAAAGGAGAGAGGG